ATTCTATGATTCTATGATTCTATGATTCATTACTTCATGCAGCGTGGCCTCTTCCTAATTCTTTTGAGTCTTTCAGCAGGTGATAACATGGACGGCTGAGATCTCAAAGTTGCATCTGTAAAGGCAAAATGCAACACTTAACAGAGGCAGCATTGTTCACACCAGACAGAGCAATGATTCGCCCGTACTTAAAGGCAAACACCGTCTACACAATAGTAGAATTTGCTCATCCCAAAGCGAGCGCACATAACCCACAGGAGCCCCAGAATGGTGAGTAAGCACAGGGGCAAGGGGGACTGATTGTTTCAGGGCCATAGTGTTCTCTGGGGTTCTGTGTCTTGGGGAGAGCTAACAGCTGCAGGGGGGCCCTATACTGAATACTGTCCCCACATTTTTCCACAGGAGTTCGTCCTGGAAGATCTCTCGCTACTGAGGGTGACCTGGGAAGCAAGGGAGGGTCTTCTACTACAATGCTGCTTCCGCCCTGGCCCATATGCAGCTTGCCTGTGTGCAGCAGTGGTCCGACTGCCCCTCACGGCACAGTGGCACGGACATGTTAGCCTGACTGGGACAAGGAGCACAGTAGCTCTCCCAAGGAACCTGCGCAAGTGCATTGCCCAGCTTCTGCATGAGACCTCTGAAGAGATCACTGAGGCCGATTACTGCAATGTGAGAGAGCACATCAATGTCCTATTCCGCATCTAGGCATGCATGCAGCCCTAATCCTCCTCGCCCCAAGAACCTGCACCAAACAACTTCCTTCTCAAAATAAAAGCCGCTTACCAGGCACCTCCTCTAGTGTTTGTCCTTCCCCGAGCACCGGCCACCGCGACTGGCTACCTTCCTCCTGGCCTGAGAACAGCTCCTGGTTGCATGCATCTAGGGATGCTGGGGTGTCTTCCTCCTCCTCAGCACCCTCGCTCCCGCTTACCTCCTCCTCCTGCCTTGCTGAACTGAGCTCTGAAGTGTCCATGGTGGTCCTCGGAGTGGAGGTGAGGTCGCCCCCAAGTATTCTGTCCAGCTCTTTGTAGAAACGGCAGGTTGCGGGGGAAGCCCCAGAAAGGCGGTTTGCCTCACAGGCTTTGTGGTAGGCATTCCGCAGCCCCTTCACTTTAACCCTGCACTGCTGTGCGTCCCGGTCATGGCCCCTTTCCATCATGTCCCTTGATATCTGCCCAAAGGTATCATAATTCCTATGGCTGGAGCGCAGCTGGGACTGGACAGCTTTCTCCCCCCAAACACTGATGAGGTCCAGCGCCTCGCCATTGCTCCATACTGGGGATCGCCTGGCGTGTGGAGGGATGGTCACCTGGAAAGATTCGCTGAGAGCTACTCCATGCCTGGCTGAGCAAACAGGAAGGGGATTTTCAAAATTCCCAGAGAATTTAAAAGGGGGTCTGACGGTTGGTCAGCAGAGCGCATTAACAGATCAGGGTGGCCACACTGGCAAAGCAGCACTCCAGCCGGGGCACAGCAAGCGTTATGCCTCTTGTCGAGGTGGATTACCAGGAGCGCTCCAGCTGCGGAGTCCGGGTGCTCTATGTGCCTTGCCAGTGTGGACGTGTCATGAGTTAGGGTGCCCAGGGCTGCTTTAATGTGCTCTAACTTGCAAGTGTAGCCAAGCCCTCAGTTTGGTTTATGAATTAAGCTAAACTGAATTAAGGGTGAAATAGCAACTGCAGCCTCCAAGGCAGCTTCAGAGATAAACAAGGCTAACTTGGCCAGACCCTTCAACATACACGGCCACTCAGGGTTTCCACCTCTGCCCTGAACAGGAAGGATAAGTTGATGCTGAAGACCCTTACAACACACTGCCTGGCACTGGGAGCTTCATCAATGACAGTGCAGCCAGCTGATGTTTATTATTCAGAACCAATGCCTAGCTACCACCAACTTCACATGCCAAGATTTGCAGGGGTTTGGGAACTCTGCATGGGGGAAGTCCTTAGCTTTGAGAGATTGGTGCAGGATGCTTCAGATGCAAACCTAGTCTGCTAGGACTGTACTGAGGTGGATGGCACCACCAGAGTCCTGGCACACAGCAGTTGAAGCCAACTCAGGCTTACGTTTTGAAGATTTTTCTTTCAAAGCACATCAGGCTAGCTTTATGCTGGACATATGGAAGTCTCACAGACTGTGCCCCGTAGAAGGGATTCTGAATGCTTTGAGTGACATCTGCAGGTAGATCCGACTCCCCTACATGTCCTACTCAATCTCCAGGCAGAAAACATGCTGAATGGCTTAGCCTGTTACCAACATTCTCCTGCTGCAGTTTAAAGTTACTGAGAGCCAAGACGTCAAAGGGAAATAAGGCACTGAGGTAGGAGGTGCTGATGGTAACAAAGCTAGAAATAAAGAAGCAGTCCTGGACTCAGCCCCAAAGACCTTCTGAGGTCTCTGGAGGTCAATGATCCTTCAGATCATAGAATCATAACAGTGTAGGACTGGAAGGAACTCAATAGGTCATTAGTCCAGTCCCTTGCACTAAGATAGGACTAAGTATTATCTAGACCAGTGGTTCTCAAACGTATTTGATCGTGCCCCTCTTCTTCATGTTTGTAGTAGTTTATTCCCCCTCCCCCCCAAGTACATATACTGATAAAAAAAATCAACGTGCAACTCTCATTAAATATTAAAAACAATAAGGCATTGATTTAAACAGAGCTACTTAAATATATAGCACAGAGCTCTCTGGCCGCCCAGCTCTGAGGCAGGGCCACCGCCAGCAGCACAGAACTAAGGATGGCAAAACCATACCAGACCACCCTTATTTCTGCGCTGCTGGTGGTGGCGGTGCTGCCTTCAGAGGTGGGTACCCGGCCAGCAGCCGCTGCTCTCCACTCTGCCTTCTCACGCCTCCCAAGGATACATTCCAGGCCCGCCCCAGTTTGAGCACCCTATTCCATCTCAGACAGATGTTTGTCTAAAAAATCCCGTGATGGAGATTCCACAGCTTCCCTAGGTAATTTCTTCCAGTGCCTAACCACCCTGATAGGAAGTTTGTCCTAATGTCCAACCTAAATCCCCTTGCTGCAATTTAAGCTCATTATTTCTTGTCCTGTCCTCAGTGGCTAAGGAGAACAATACTTGAAGAGTTATCACATCCGCTCCCTCCCCCACTTTCTCTTCTCCAGACTAAACCAACCCAATTTTTTCAATCTAACCTCATAAGTCATGTTTTCTAGACCTTTAATCATTTTTGTTGCTCTCCTCTGGACTTTCTCCAATTCGTCCACATCTTTCCTGAAGTGTGGTGCCCAGAACTGGACACAATACTCCAGCTGAAGTCTTATCAGTGCTGAGTAGAGTGGAAGAATTATTTCTCATGTCTTGCTTACAATACTTCTGCTAATACAGCCCAAAATGATGTCCTCTTTTTTTTTTTTTTTTTTTTTTGTCAACAGTGTTACATTGTTTACTCATATATTGGGGTGTTAATGACAGAACCAATGAAAAATAACCATACTAAAAACCACTGGACTGGGCAGGAAGGGCCACAAAGATAAAAGGATACCGGTAGCAGGAGTTGCCCTCCCCTGCCTTGTGGTATCCCTGGCAAAGTTCCTTCGCTTTCATATGGCACTGCTACCGATCCCTGTTACACCCCTTTGCTTGCATCCCCAGTGCAATCTGCAATTTCTACAGCTGTTCCGTAGTTGTGCTTGTGTCATGGACTCACAGGCCCTAGGCTTTCTCGGCTCCTTACTGTCTCCGGGAGGAACCCCCCTTCATCGTGACAGCCCTTCTCGGGGAGTCCATGATCTCTTGGGAGTTAAGCCCTGGGCTCCAGTGCCTCCTGGAACCTCACCTCTCTGAGCCTCCAGCCTGCTGTTTCTCGCCATGGGCCCCCTCTGGGAGTCCACTTGCTTGGGACCCTCACAGGTTTCAGTCTGGATGATCTGGAACAGCTCTGGGAGCACCTTAGCCAAGACTCTGGTGCAGTTTGACTCCCCGCATGGCATGATGTCCAGGGCAAGAAACCTCCTTGGCTTTGGAACTCCCTGGGTCCAATCTCGGAGCATTCAGCACCCCTGTTCACACTGTGAGCTCCCCGCAGTGAGTCCGCCTGATGGATGCCTGGGGAAGCCTTGCACGCCCCCAAAGGGCCCTATACCCCAACTTCACAGTCAGAAATGACTCTCAGCCAGCGTTGTAAAACAGAAGGGTTTATTAGTCAATAGGAACATAACTTAGAACGGATCTTGTTAACACAGAAAGTAGGACCATTCAGTAAAGTCCACCTTGGGGAGAGGGAAACCCCAGAGTCTTGGGATCCTGACCCTTCCCCTGAGTCTGACCCCTTCAAGCTGCCTGGCCTCCATCCTGCCCATAGCCCCTGCTCTAGTTTGTGTCTTTCAGAGTGGCAGCCGTGTTAGTCTGTATCCACAAAAAGAACTGAAGTACTTGTGGCACCTTAGAGACTTTATTTATTTAAATAAATTTGTTAGTCTCTAAGGTGCCACAAGTACTCCTGTTCTTTTTGCAGTCTGTGTCTTGTTTCCTGGCAAAGTGTCACTTGGTCGCATCTCCCTCCTGTTTCTCAGGTTACAAAGGGGTTTGGCCATTGTCCACATGCAGGCAGCTGAAGCAGTCTCACCTGCCCTGGGGGTCTCAGCAAAAGACACACACCCTTATCCCCACCGCCTAGGCTTTGGTGTAATACACAGGGGAAACTGAGGTACATACCATATTCATGCAAAACATTAAGGCTCACAGGTGTCAAGTATCAGGGGGTAGCCGTGTTAATCTGTAGCCACAAAAACAACAGTCTATATCTTCAGATGGAGTCATGCATCTGAAGAAGTGAGGTTTTTTACCCATGAAAGCTTATGTCCAAATAAATCTGTTCATATCCTAAACCCAAAGTCCTCCAGGATCAAATAAATCTGTTAGTCTTTAAGGTGCCACCGGACTCCTCGTTATTAAGGCGCACGTACAACATAACAAGGGGAAAAAACCCACTTCCTCACAGCTTGCACAGCCTCTTCTCTCCACAGGCCCAGGAGATGCAACACTTCTTGCCTGTTCCAGGCAGGAGTGCATCTAGTACCTCTCTGTATGTGCTGGACACAAACAAAGGTGAGCTGCTAGGTATGCTTGCCAAGATGGGCAACCAGGAAAGGGCATTTCAAAAAACACATAAGGTATCTAAAGGTGGGGGGCTTCCAGTTTCTATCACCCCTAGGTAATGGAGTTTAAAATTGTGAGTAGAGTGGTCACTGTTGTGTGACCTTGGTACTGTAGGACATTGGCTGTAGGACAGTTAGTGTTGACATGGGTCACACTGCGATGACCAAAGTAGGTCGATCATAGTTTTACACAGTTCAGGAAGAAGATTTTACTGTGTCATTGTAATGGGTCACTTACGTCAGTCAGAGACAAATTTGAGCATAGACGCATAAACAAGCCCATGCAAGGCAACTTACATTGACCTAACTTTGTAGTGCAGACTAGGCCTGAGAGGTAAAGAGCAGGAGCAGCATCTCCTGTGGGGAGCTTCTTGGTTGAGCACAATCAATATTCCCAGGGACAGTTCACATCCTAACCCAAAGTCCTAACAGAGCTTGGGGTGGTCTGTCTGATGTTGGGAAGCATAAAACCCAGGTATGAGAATCCTGTGCTGATGATATCCTTAGAGAATATGAAAATGCAAAGGGGAAAAAAAAAAAAAACAAAGTGGCCCATCTCTGGGAGAGAGTAGATGCAGTCAGGACTTCACTGAGAGATGCAGGAGAATAGAAGCTGGAAGTATACAGGAGTGACGATCTATACTATTATGATCACCACTTTTACAAGACTATGATAAATTTTGTACAAAGTATGCCTTGTGAGGCATCATTTGAAAACTCAGTCTGTTGAACATTATTGTCCTGGTAAAATATCTGTATCAACTTTGTACGTAAAGTTATATGTTTCTACTGCATAACATTGTTGTCAC